GCCCGGTAGGCCAGGTTGTTTAGGGGGTGAGTGCTGGGGCAGTAACCAGACCTGGCCTGCCTGCTCCCACCCTACCTGCCCAGTCCTGTGCACGGGCCTGGGCACAGAGGGGACAGCTGCAGATTAGGAAGGATGCCCGATGAGAGGGTGTCACATGTACCTCGAAGCCATGGGATGAGGAACCACCAAGATGTTGCTGTCAGCATTGCGTAAGAACTCTGGGCCTTGGGGGGATGGGGCTTTTTGGCCTTGAGAAAATCCAGGAACCCTGCACACCTTTCTCCTGCTCAGTTGCCATGTGGCAAGGTGTGAGGCTGGACTGAGACACTGTACTTGACTTCAGTGTCATCTCTGAGTAGTGTTAAATCCTTCTGGACTCAATGTCCCCACTGGTAACGATGCCATCCTGCCTGCCCTCCTTCCCCAGGGGTGGGAACGACTGCTGAAAGGGAAGATGTGTGTTCACTGATACAGAGCACGTGCATTGAGGCATGTGCCATCTTATCTTGGGGTCACAGCCTCTCTCTTGGCGCCACAAACTCACTAGAAGCCCAGTGTTCCTGCAGTCACCTGGAGAAGGGGTGGGTCCTGAGCCAAAGACTCAATAGAGAGAGGACTGGGTTTATCAGTCCTTGCTGTCTTCAGTGATCCAGCACCCACCTAGGTGGCAGTGTTCCCACGGTATGAGGGCAGTGTTTTAGGAGGCACTCCAGGTGACTAGCTTCTTTGAGCTCCACACCCAGGCCAGTGAGGCTGGGGCTAGATCATTAGGGCTGCACATGGGCACCTGCACTAGCCTGCCCCAATTACCCTCAGGCAGGTATGTAAGTCACCTGAGCCTTTAGGGTAAGTGAACATCAGGAACTTCTTGCCCTCCTGGTTCCCTGGAGTTAGGGGTGGGGGCTGGGTCTTATCCTTCTCTCCTGGAGGGCCCTGGGCATCTCCTAGTGGCCAGTTCTGCACATAGGACAGGTGGAGTGGTGGCAGTCTTGCTGGTCCAGAGGAACTGTTACCTCCTCTGCCCCTGGGGTGGGGTCCCTTTCACCCTGCATTTATATAAGGGGGCCACACAAACCAGTCTTGGACAAAATAGACCTATTTTTAAGTATTAGTGCCTGGCTATCAAGGCATCTTATGAATTGTGACGCTCACAGAAGTTGTCTCTACCCTGTCCCTGTCTTGCTGATAAAGGTCTGGGTGGCTGCAATTCCCGCACCCTTCCTGACCTAACCAGGGGAGAGGAATATGAAGTCTGGAATGCCAGAGCTGGGGTTTTTCTCACAGGAATTTTCATACTCCAGCCTTTTGGCGATCACATCACCCCAGCCCTCCCTTAATGCATGTGATCCATGCACTCCCATTCAAGTGGCAGGGTCCAGGGAGGAGAGTGGGTCCCTGGCCTCCTGCTAGGAGGTAGATGTGGAAGCAAGGGCTTACAGGAGAAGTGGCATTCAGGAGGGGCTGTGTTGTCCCTTGGACAGAGGTCTGGGGATAATTGGGAGCTACATTGGATGATTCTCAGAACAGAACTGATGGGATAAAAAGCTGATGTGACCCACAGATGTCCTACAACCAGGCCTGAACTCTGTCACCATTGCACCCTTGTCACCCAGAGCCAGGTCATCAGGTTAGGGGGATATACTATCAAAAGTGCCAATGGGCAGGTTCGGCTGCATCACACAGAGTAACAACCTGTCTCAGGTTTTTGCTCCTGACCTTCAAGCTGGACAGTTGCTCAACTCTCAAAGTTGCAGACGGAGCCACTAGAGCACTTGCCAAATGGAGAAGATGGCAGTAGACCCCATGGGGTTAATGAAATGGTGATGAGCTATGAGGAGTTTGAGGGGAGTAAATGAGAGCTGGCAAGTCTTCTATTAGGGTTGTAAGAGTCAGGTTATGACTGGGGCTGTGGCTCTCAGCGATGGGGGCTACTAGAGGGGCTGGGTGTGGTGGGGTATGATCTGAGTCAAGGACCAATGGATGGCATTGTTCCTGTCACAAGTTCAGGAGCAAAAGGGCTGGGGAGAGGGAGGTCCCTTTCACAACTACTCATGCCTCACAAAGTGTCAGCTTCCTGTTCCCTCAACTTTGGTCTCTGCTGGATCAGAGGTCTTCATTTCCAGGCAGGATGCTTACACCAAGGACAGACCCTGTTCCCCTGGATGTTTGCCTCACACCAGAGGCATCAGGCAAATCAGGGTTGCTCTGCTGGGTGGAGTGACTGACCATGACTTTCAGGGGCAGCGGGGTTTTGCTGCTGTTCAGTGGGGATCCGAGGGGCATGATGGAACTCAGGATACTCTCCTGATCCTTCCCAGGTTGTGTGGGAAAGGAAACAGAGGCCATAGCACAAAAATGCATGCAGGGCCATGTGGGGCCACTGCAGGATGAAGCCTTGTCATCCTACCAGGAAAGATCACCACCAGCGAGGAGTTAGCTGAAGGTGGAGGGGATACAAAATGAGTAATGGGAAAGGGAAATTACACCAACTACAGTTATTTTACTCATTACCTTGTTATGTATATATTTCTACATATTAACCAGGAACTACAGTATCTGAAATTCACATTATAAACCTGAGAAAGAAGACATCTACTAAGAAGGGCTCCTGGTGATTAACTGGGCTCAGATTTTAAGAAAAAGAACCTAGCAGTCATTTCTACACAGAGGCCTTTCATGCATACTGCACTTCAGGGAGAGGCCTGCACTGAACTGCCTGCCTCCACTGTGTTCCTGCCATCTGAGCCAGCCCTTACAGAGGAACTAGAGGCCCTATGCACGAAATTCATGCAAGAGTAGGCCTTCACAGCTCTGGCTTTGTCCAGAAGGTCATCCAGAAGGACATCTGGACAGTCGTTCCCCTATTTGGTTGATTTACATATTATGCTTTTATTATTATAGATTCTTGGAATCCTCTTTCAACCCATAGGACTGAGGCTTTCCCAATTCAATCAGTTGTCCAGCTATATCCCATCAACATCTTCACCAACCAATCAGAGCAGCTCCATTCTGAGCAATTAGGGAAGTGTTCTTTGGACCAATCAAATTGTGAGAATTTGGGATCCTTATTGTATGAGGACAGACTCCTCAGGGACCAGGGGCATGGCCTTCTGTCCATATAAGCCAGCTGTCCTTTGGCTCTGAGTACACTTTCCCTTTCCACCTATGATTGAAGACTGTTTTCCTGGCTGAGCTGAAACAGTAAAGGTGTCTTGCTGGAGCACAGCAGAGCAGCCCAGCACAGTGCAAAGCAAACCAGCATGGAGCAGAGCAGAGCAGGGCATTGAGGAGTGAAGTGGAGCAGAGCGAAGCAGAGCACAGTTGACTAGCTAGAGAAGGGCCTGGTGCCAGGGCTGCCAACTGCCCTGCTGTTTTAAAACAACTATGCTGTGTTGCAATTGAGCTGTTTTGAATAGTTTCTTTCTGCACCACACCCCATATTGGGGCTTCCTGTTGGCATTGAATTGGCACCGATTATCACTTGACAACATGTATTACCCAATTTTTCCTTTTCTTTCCCCCACTACCTTATTTAAGAAGTATTGCTGGTGATAAATTTCCTAATATCTTTAGGCCACAGGTTGTCCATATGAGGTGCATGCTAACCAGAAGAGGAATGCACAGACTCAGATGTGCATGTAGCCAGTGCATTGTTGGTGTGAAGGTGGCTGCAGGAGGTCAGACTAGGGCTCAATGCTGTTGCTGGAACTGGGAGGTATGGTAAAAGGTGGGTGTGCTAGGTGGTTTGTCACAGCCTTGCACCCTCACCTGCATGTCATGGCAACTATAAGTCTGGAAACCATGGGCCCAATCCAGTTTTGGGTTCTGAGATAAGAGACAGGACCAGTGTGAGCCTGGGGAAAAGCCTCTACGGTTTAAGCACGTTGCAGACATGAGTTTGCCGGCAGTCCCCGGTGTCCTCCAGAGTTGTCCAAGTCACAGTGGCCAGCAGCCAATATCAGGGTGGCAGGTCTCTGTGACCCCTGAACTTCCCCATCTCCTGACCTTGGCTCCTGGCCGTGATTTCCCTGTAATGTCTTTCTGCCTAAAGTTCAAGTAGTTTTGATCTTCCTGACGAAGCCCAGCCTAATAACCTGGGATTGTGAATGGATTACACCAAGCATCTCAAACTCAAAGGCTAACATGGGCCACATAAACAAGGTTTAAATTTATGTGGGCCGCAAAAAAACAAAAGCTTCAATTTTCATAGAAACGTAGGTTTATTTCAATAGAGACATGCTGAATACAAAGGGCTGAAATAAATGAGTAATCATTAACATAAATAGAACATTTTAATAAAAATTAATATTTTTCTTGAACATTAACTTACTAGATACTGAATAACGGCACAAATTAATAAGCATAACGCAAATAAACCTATTTTTCTTATTTTCCACAAGCGAAATATTCCCTGTTGCGCACACCAAACAAGTCAGTCCAAGACTAATGATGTGGCAATCGGCTGCTAAAATAGTCCCTGCTAGTATTAGTGGAGACAAATGGTGCACCTGAGTGTAAGCTGTATAAGGAAAATGAATGCAACACAATTATAGTAATGTCATTAGTGAATGCTGTAGTTTGTTATTAATAATAGAGGCCCGGTGCATGAAATTCATGCACTGGGGGAGGAGGGAATCTCTCAGCCTGGCCTGCACCCTCTCACAGTCCAGGAGCCCTCAGGGGATGTCCAACTGATGTCCCAAGGGGACTGGGCCTAAATGGGCAGTCAGACATCCTTAGCACTGCTGTGGAGGTGGGAGAGGCCCCCACCACCTCCGCTGTGCCCAGCTGTGAGCAGGGCTTCTGGCTGAGCAGCACTCCCCCTGTGGGAGTGCACTGACCACCAGGGAGCAGTTCCTGCGTTGAGCGTCTGCCCCCTGGTGGTCAATGCACACCATGGCGACTGGTCATTCCTTATTAGCCTTTTATAGGATTTTATAGAACAGGATATTGTAAAAATTAAGTTACAAAATTTTAATTAAAACATTTCTTACATACCCTTACATTGGCTGGGCCGCAAAAATATTAGTTGTGGGCTGTATGCAGTCTGAGGCCCTGAGTTTGACATGCTTGGATTACACCATCCCAGGAAACTCCCAGTCTGGCTTGGGGGTTGGGCTGACCAATCAGGGCTCACTGTGTGGAGGGCTCCCGGGTCAGGCGGGACCGGGACTGCAGGCCCTCCTCGTACTTCTGGAGCTGGGACCAGAAGCCAGGGTTGGGCTCGGCCACGGGGCGGGCGCTCTTCACGGTCTGCAAAGGAGGGGATTAGGTGAAACGCCCCGCAGCATTCGCTATAAAGTCCTCAACTGCCCACCACCAGGGGGGTGCCCCGCCCCCGCCCGGAGCCCCGCCCCTCTGAGAAGGCTC